TGTGTTTCAAGAGATTTATTGTTGGTTTTGAGGCTGGGTTACTTGCTCTTCAAATTTTTTATCTTCCCTCTGGTGTTTTTAGAAGAGTCTGTGTTTTTATATTTAACCTAGCAGAATCTATGACCTTTTAATTTTATTTTTCTATAGAGGAATGAAGATTCCGAGGTATGCTTCTTGCTTTCCTCCTCATACCCTCCTGTTTAGCCATGCCAGCACCCTTTTGTCTATTTTCTAGCCTTGATTAATAGCACACAGTTTTTCTTTGTCTCCAATACAGAGTCCTTAGATAGCCTCTACATTTTCTATGAGGATTTAACCCTATTGACCTTTTTAAGCCTCTTTTTAACAAAGTAACTGCATTAGTAGTTTCTCTTTTGGAAATTGAGGACAACTGCCGTGGATTTTTTTGGCTCTTATTCTTCCTACAAGCATATTGAATCTAAGCACATTATGGCCTCTGCTAGAAAGCAGCTCTTCAATTCTGAACCAGGTCATATAAAATAATCAAATAACCTGTTCTGTGCATTTTCTAACTTACTGTTCCATGAACCAGTCACTGATCCTATGTAAAAATTTAATCTTTAGTCATACTATGTTGAGCTATTTGCCCAATTTACAAGGTACATGTAATCCTTACTGACAAATTTCCTGTTCTCGTGGTTTCTCTGACCTCAGCATGTCACAGTCATGATCACAGTCATGGTCAGGGGACAGCATTGCAGCCTTAAATAGAAAAGTATAATAAAGAAGAGAGGAAAAAAGAAAGGCATTTTGTTTTTAGGAGAACCAACGGTATTTGAAGAAACATGTACTTTGTCTAATGCAGATTTTGCCTCTGTGATTCCTTTGACTGTCTTTTTGGCAGGTTCTTTGTCTTTAGACTGGCATGCAGGCATGTTGAGCATATAAAACTGCAAGTACAGTAAATGGGAGCCGTATATGGTGTAATAGGCACAAGTGACAAGGTTGAAGTAGTGGGGCCTGCAGTGGGAGCAGGTCAGGAGCTGCCCTATGCTGGTCACAGCAGACACAGCGAGCTCTGAGGCGACGTGACCAGCTGTGGGGAACTGCCACGTGCCAAAGCTTTGCCCTGCATAGGACACATGGGCCTTGCTTGGGCGTGTTTTAGGGCCTCCCTCTTCAGCTGTGGGGCTGAGACATGCTCCAGAGGAGGTACCCCACGCCACAGGGTTACATATACCCCAAGGGACCGAGGGCGACCCAGGCTGGGGCAGGGACACCTTGAGGGACCACAGCCGTAGGAGACCCACGCCAAGCACACTAGGAAAACATAAGCCAGCAGAAAGCCCTGATATCTTTAATGCTGGTTGTGTTACTGCTGCTTCTGTCTGTAGCTATAGCTTACCTATAAAATAGAAGTAATGAGTCTTTATTTTGAAGTGTAGGTAAATTAACTCCCTAGCATGTTCAATGTTCTAGAAAATCATATTAGTAAATTAATAATTCTGCAAACATGGTAAGTTTGGGATGGAGTATAGTTAATAAAGAAAGGATCATTTGTGAAGGATGAAGATAAGCATAAATAATGCATCATTTCCTAAGGGTTATTCATTCTGTGACTAAAAGGGTAAGGGAGTAAAGGACAACTTGGTATGTCATCAAAGCAATTAATGCATACTGTAAAGCACACAGAGGTTGGAAGTCAAATTATGCAGGCAATATAATCTGAGGCATTTCCTATATTATGGATACTTTACATATTAAGTAATATGTTTGATGTTTTAAAATGTGCATGGGATATAAAATGAGCATAAATCAATGTTTCAGAGATGAAGTAAGAGTGGGCTGTCCTGTAAGGGAGACAGCCAGGAGTGGAGGGTGATGGCAAGGCAGGCCGGGCAGTGGCTGCACCCTCAAGCAGTGCAATGTCACTATGCCCACGCAGGCAGCCCTTAGCCGGTCTGGTGACCATGCCCCGAGTCAGCCAACAGCTTCGTGACCCTGGTGGTGAGACAAGCCCAGAGGTCAAACCAGGAAGTCAAGTGCTTGAGTCATGGTCAGGATTTGGATAAGCAAGGTGCAAGGGCAGGTACAGGTCTACCTACAGCATAGCTCAGGTAGGGACCACAGGTGAGTGCCTGAGCTTTAATGCAGCTCCCAAGTGCAGTGGGGAGACCCCAGAAAGACCCCCACAGCTGCCTGTCAGCTCTTCTCATAGAAGTTTGATCCAAGGTCACAGCCACATCATCCAACAGCACATCCAACCCTCAGCACAGGCCACCAAAAAACAGAGTGTGTGTGGGGACTGAGGGGAGCATGCTTAGGGCCCTGGCATGCACACACAGTCTTCTTCAACATGAGCTGATTTATTGTCTTCTTTAATAGATTCTTCTTTTTTTTTTTTTTTTTTTTTGAGAGAGAGAGAGATTCTGTGGGTATTTCTCAAATTTCATTTAAAGTGAATTTTATTTTTATCATTCAAATTTAATAATTATTATTAATAAAAATTATAGTTAATACAAATGTGGCCTGAAATTAAGATATTGAGCTGGAATAAAAATAACCTGGGATTCATTTTTGCCATTAGATGACTTCCCAGGGGTCACACATTAAGCTTTCTGCTTCAGTTCTCCATTAGTAAAAAGGAGAATATTATGCTTCTTTTCACTTAGCCTTCTGAAACTTTTCTGTTTAGAGTTGTTCCCTCTTCAAGCGCAGTATCGTACTATGTGTCCATACAAGTCCTAGTCCTGGATTTTTCTCGATGCTGTTGCAAAACAGATAAAAGTACCTAGTCTTTAGCAATTATATGGAAGCATATAGGGTTATAGGTAGGCAAATTTTCTTGCCTAATTCAGACCTAAAATATGATAATTCTTATAATCACTTTCAATTTTCATCTCATGACATCTTTTTGTCTCATGATTTATGACATAGCCATGTTCTATCATTCATATTCTTGTGGCTTTTTATTTTCTTTGTTGATTTTTATTGTGATGTGTGTTAGTCTTCTAACTCTGCGTCATACTTACCTGTTTACTTTTCTCGCTCTTCATTATTGAACATTTTTTCTCCCGGTTTTATCACTAAGAAACCAATCTTTATTCTCTCTTGATATTTATTTTCCATGTATTTCTACCCTTGGTTTCCCGCTACTTTCATAAGCTGTTTTCAGCTTCTTATTGTTGAAATTCTTATACTCCCACAGTAATCTGCTTCAGCTACCTGAAGACTGATAATGAATTTTTCAAAGGACAGGGAGTATCAACATTTATAATGATCCTGATTATTTATTATAAAAAAAAAAGAGAGAGAGGGAGTTTTAGTCTGTACAAATATACCTTTATGAGGAAGCACCCTTCTTTATCAGTAAACATAAAGCCTGTATATGATATCAGAACTATGAATATCCATTGCATGGATGAAAGGCAACATATTTTACAGATGGGCAAAGATTCTTCCATATTAAGCATGCCATAGCTTTCTTTTCCAGGTATCTAAAAAGAAAGATAACCTTTTATAAACATCTATTTTAATAACACCTGACAAAATCTCATTATGAAAAAAGTGTGTAAAGATGAGTTACTGAATGTGGGATTTCTAAATATTCAATAATATAGAACATAGACTTTTACATCTGATAATAGCCACAGAGGTAATAACAGCTATAATGGATATAATAGTTCAACACTGCTAGTTTAAAAGAAAAATTTCTATATGATCCAAAATACACATTTGCTAGCACATTATCTAATGCTGTCATTGATTATCATGTGATTCTGAAGATAACGGAATGTCTCAGAATAGAAAGATTTTGAATGTTGTGTAACAAGGATAGTCATTTTCTTGCAGATCTATATTCTTTCTTTTGCTCTATAGGGAGTTAGTTCCCAGGGTGGAAAGAGAGAGACAGAGACAGGAATTAGGAATTAGCATACTTGCGTGGCTATGGAGCTAAGTGGTTAGTATATTCAACTGTTTGAAGGCAGAATTGGTACTCAGTAACTAAATGAAAACAAAAACTGTTCTAGGAGGGAGAGCAAAACCTACTTTCTACCCCTTCTGAGTTTAATACCCCAAACCTGAAGTCTGAGTCAAGTTCTTTCACTCATTTTCTGGGCCTCATAGTTCTTGTATGCCTGGCTGCACGCTTACCCTGCTTTAGGAGGAGTGGTGGAAAGAGGCTTTATCCTAGTAGCATGAGTGTACTACTGAGTTGGGGTTCAATCTCTAGATGTCTCACCCCCCACAAGTCATTAAACTGCTAAGCAAAAGTAAGCTTTTATTACTACTAGTTAGTTCAGTTAGAACTAGTTAGTTCACAGTTTCTTCGAAGGCTTAAATAGTATTTAGGTGATCACTCCATTGCACAAAGGCCATTTGGCCAGGTTCACATGCACGAAGATCTACTAGTAGAGTCCAATAATACATCGACTCAAATAGTGAAAGATACTTTGAAGCAAAAGAAGAGAGAGACGGAGACAGAGAGACAGAAAAGGTGTGTTTGCATATTTTCTTTACTGAAGCCATAATTCATAAATCTGCATCTTCAGAATATCTGCTTTCACCATAAACTAATGATATGTCATTATCAGGAAAAACATATATGGTTAAAATTCATGATTAGGGCTTAGATGTTCTGGTTTACTTCTCAGTTTTGTCACAGAAGTCTTATCTGACCTTGGTTATCTTCAGTCTCTATCAAGCTTATTTTACCTCTACACAGAGGCAAAAATATGGGAGGGAAGAGGGGAAGGGTGATTTTAAGTTTTTTCTCTTTTCATATGTTAGTACATTTGCCAGCCAAGTGCAAATCAAATCTTTAGCAGAAACAGAATTAGGAATAGATTCTGACTTCAGTTACGCTGATGTAACGCTGATCAATTAAGCAGACTTATTCCAGTTTTGCATCAGTGTAACTAAACGCAGACCTTGCTTTGTTGTATATTTTTTATGTTGTATATTTTTTAATGTGGCTTTGATATTTTACTGTATTTGGTGTGTAAACAGTAATGTTTTTCTCTCTTTGAATTTCTAAGATGCAACAAGAAAGAAAATACAAAGGAATCTTAGGCAACAAGTGTTCTAAAGCTATCTTCAGTAACGCTGCAGTTGTGAACAGAGACTCATATTTACCACATGAAACAATGAGTGCACAATCAACAGTTCTCCTAGTAGTGTGCTTTCTTCAAATCTACACTGTAAATGGACAGATAACATGTGAGAGGCAAATGACTGTCGAATGGCGAATGGAACCAAAACCCAGCATAATAGAATGGACACTAAGGGAAAACATCTGCTCAGACTTTTACACAGAGTGCTGGAATATGGATAAAAGTGTTACTGGGAACATCTCAGAAGAGCAAAATCTCCTTGTCCCACAAATATGTCCCTTACAGCTTCAGTTAGGTGACAGCCTCTTCATCTCCTCTGAGCCATCCTTTCAACTGCTTGGAAAGAATTTGGCAAATGTCTCCAGGGAAGAATTTATTACTTGCCCTAAAACTGATATTCTTCAAGAGCAGCTGATTTTTGTTTGCCAGGTCAGAGGGCTGCACCAAGTTGACCCCAAATGGCTCGGTGCTGGAACTCATTACTTTGCAGAGCGGCTTCCCAATGGCCCGCTGCTGTGCAACAAGGGCCTTCGTCTGAACGTAACTGTGAAGCAGCAGTTCTGCCAACAGTCTCCACATGCACCGTTATGCTCTGGACATGGAAGATGTCTAAGCCATGTTTGGGAAAACGCATATAGTTGCCATTGTTTCCCACAGTACTCTGGAAGATTCTGCCAGAAGTTTGATATGTGCTCCACTAAACCTTGCCACAACCATGCCTCCTGTAAGGCGATATCACAGCTTCCTGGAGATTCTTATGAATGCACTTGTCCTCCGCAATTTTCAGGTATTTTGTTTTCTTCTAGGAATAAATATTACATAGGTAATATGTATTCTTTAACGTATAGTAAAAAAGTGCATCATTAGCAAAGTTTTTCTGTAGCTTGATTGCCCATCGCCACTACCACACTGCACTAAGTCTCTTTCACATGTAACCTCCTGCAGGAGACTGTGCCACCATTTAAAGACAGTTTCTACCCACTTACGTTGATGCATGCATTGTGGGGAAAGACTAAATAACTTTTCCCCATGCTTCTCTCCCACTTAAGCAACTTAAGCAGATGTACTTAAGGCAAGTACTTGTGTACTTACATAAGTAACAGATTTTGTTATCTGTTTGCTTAGCAGTTCAAGCTCTCTCACCAAATAATAGAAATTGTTTCAAGTCAGACCAACTGAACATAGTTGCCTAACCAAAATGCTGAAAAACAGGAAATGGTTTGGCTGAAATAAAAATATCATTCAACCTGCCATGCTAACTCCTTTTTCAGTTTCAAGCCTTTTGTAATCAAATTAGAGAAAATTACAAAATCAGAATTTGTTTCCAGTTGAAAAGTCAAAAACTTAATTAGGAATGCAAGCAAAATAAAACACTTAGCCTTTTCCAGATTTTTTGCTTTATAAAGTTCCTTTCAAAAGGAATTTTTTAAACCTACTGTTGCCACCAAATGACATTTTTTTGCAAATAAAAAACTTCACTTAATTCTATCTAGGAAATATTGCAGTACTTCTCACCAGGTTTTTCTCCCAAGTCCATTGAGAGAACTGAATTTGGGTTTAGGATCAGTCTACCAGAGACTACATAATTTTTACATACATTCTTACCTAAGCATGTTCTTCTTACCTAACCATGTTCTTCATTTCAAAGAGGAAGAGAAGGGGATGAAGGAAGTTGTGGGTATATTTTTTACTGCATTCAGATCAGTGGAGTTCAGGAATCCTTTAAAAAGTAACCAAAGTAATCATTTACATCACAAAAAGAAGTGATGTAGCTCTTTCTAAATTTGTGGAGCAGAATCCTAGCAATGTTCCTTGTGTGAACTGTAGTTCTGTACTGTCCCAATAGCAATGCCATGCTGTGAGAGACAGCTGATGAGTCAGGAACAAATGAGGTTCACAGAACAGAGAAACAAAGGTTATATTGCATTAAGTTTGCTATAATTTATTTTTGATTACTTTCAAATGGCATAATAATTTTTTTACTAATGCATTTGCAAAAAGAAGATTATGCTGATATGAATATGTCAGTGTAATGAAGAGTATTTTTCATAATTATTCAGAGTTTAGTAAAAATTGTGGAAAACATTCATGGTAGAAAACATTGATGCAGTATGCTTTTTAAATCCTTTGAGAGCTCCGAGGGGTAACTGTGTAAGATGCTTTGAAAACAGTAACAACAAGGGCTTAGCACTACTTTAATTCAAATTGACGGAATGATTCATAAGCACTTCTATGAAAACCAGTGACCACGCTTAATGCTTCTGTCAAGCAATGCTTGAAATATTCTGCTAGCCTATATGGTACAGTGTTAGCTTATACCATCACTTCGTACTGACAGCATTAGTTCAGTAAATAAGATGTATGTAAACAAGAAGAACTAGAATATTAAACCATTAAGTATTATGGTTGTGGTTATGCAAGTGTAAGGGAGGAAAGAGTTTCTCCCATAATATAAAATATATTAGAAAGTAGAAAAGTTGACGAAATGTGAATAATAATACCATAGCAACAACTCAAATGGCAAGCCTAATTATATGGTATTTAGACCCATATGCTGTAATAGCATAAGCAGTTTATAATTTGAAGAGTGATTTCAACAAAGCTGCATATTAAGAAAAATCAATTCAAACTTGACACTACCTGAGAATAGGTCTTTGTTCCTAACGCTGGAAGAAACTATAACCTACATTCATGTCACAAAGAAATAAATACCTACTGTACCTTTAGCATTCCTGGATTTTAAGTTATGTGCAAATTTGTAACTATATGGCAGATGAGGCTGAATGCAGTAGCTAGTATTACAGCAGCCCAGCATATTTTTGCCTTACTTTAAAGCTTCAGTGGTTTTCAGTGGTGTGATCAATATTACCACAAATATCTACCTACCTACCTATCTACTGGCCTATATATCTAATAAAATGTTTTATTTTACATATAAATTTGACATTTATGGAAAAATATAAATATTTACAAAGTACACTCTT